AGGAAGGAAGGATGGAGGGAAGGGCAGTAGCAATAGCACTTAGACTTATATACCACTTCACAGTGCTTTAGAGCCCTTTCTAAGCGGTTTACAGAGTCAGCATATTTGCCCCCAACAATCTGGCTTTTCATTTTACCCACCTTGGAAGGATGGAAGGCTGAGTCAACAGGAAGGAAGGAAGGAAGGAAGGAAGGAAGGAAAAAGGGAGGGAAGGAAGGAAGGATGGAGGGAAGGGCAGTAGCAATAGCACTTAGACTTATATACCACTTCACAGTGCTTTACAGCCCCCTCTAAGCAGTTTACAGAGTCAGCATATTTGCCTTCAACAATCTGGGTCCGCATTTTACCCACCTCAGGAGGGTGGAAGGCTGAGTCAACCTTGAGGCTGGTGAGATTTGAACCGCCAAATTGCAGGCAGCTGGCAGCCAGCAGTCACCAGAAGCAACCTCTAACCACTGTGCCAGCACGGCTCATAAATGGGAGGAAACACCCCTAAGAATTGAATCTGCTGGAAGAGAGTCGGATTAAGCATGGAAATCTATTTTGGCTGTTACCAAATGTTTCAGATTTCGTGGAATGGAATGGAATAGAATAGAGTGTCAAATTTGATTTTATTGAGGGCTGCATCAGAGTTGTGTTTGACCTTGTGGGGCTGGGGTGAGTGTGGCCAGGGTGGGTGTGGCCAGAGCCAGCTCAACATCACTCATGCTGTGGGCACTTGTGGTGGCCAAGTGCTAAGGCAGGACTTCCCTCAGATCCTCCCTCTTTCTCATAATCTCCTTCCTTCCTTCCGCCCTCCCTCCGTCCCTCCCTCTTCATTCTCCTTTCTTGTTCCTTCCTCTCTTTCCTTCTTTTTCCTTCCTTGATCTCTTCCCATCTTTCCTTCTTTGTCTTTCCTCTTTCCCTTTCTTCTTTCCTGTCCCTTCTTGGATGCTGAAATATGAAAGGGGAAACATTTCTCCTTTGTTTTTACTTTGTTTTGCTAGCCCTCAGCCAGCAAAAACAGAGCTGGGGGGAGGTGGTATATTCAGCCATGGCAGCCCTCAGTGGCAGCCCTCAGCAGATTATGGTTTAATCTAGAGGTGGGCTTCAAAAAATTTAGCAATGGGTTCTCTGCCTGGTTGCTGGGTGGCCGTGACCATGATGAGGGTGGCCTAGTCGGCTTCCTGCACCATGACGGGATTGGGGGGGGGGGCATTTTCGACCTCCCTGAACTTTGGAAGCTTTCCTCCGTGAGGGTGAAAACAGTTTCCCCTGGGCTTCGGCTTCTCATTTCCAGCTTTCCAGAACTTCCGGGAGGCCCGTTTCTTGTCCTCCCCAAGCCTCCACACAGGCCCTGTACTTACCTGGCATCCCAAACAGGGTGCATGGGGATTCCTGGGAGAGGTGGGATAGGTTGGGTGGGACCAGCTAAGGTTGGGATTTGTGGGTTCTCCAAACTGGGCAGATTCTTAGCTAGAGGTTCTCCCGAACCCGTGCGAACCTGCAGCAGCCCACCCATCCAGGCCTTTGATCGTTTTAGTTGCCCTTCTTTGAGCTTTTTCCAAAATCTCAACATCTTTTTTTTTATAATGTGGTGACCAAAATTGGTTGCATTATTCTAGGTGTGGTCTTACTAGGGTTTTTTAAAGGTTTTATCATGATGGGGTATACTCTGTAGAAGAGATTATTATCACCTTTATGCATGCTTTGTCTCATTTACAGGTGAACGTGTATGTGTGGGAGAACAGCTAGCAAGAATTGAGACCTTCGTCTTTCTGACCAGCCTGTTGAGGGCCTTCCGTTTCCGGTTGCCTGAAGGAGTGAAAGAACTCAATGAAGCACCTGTTGCAAAGATGACAATGCACCCACACCCTTACAAACTGTGTGCTATTTCCACACAGGCATAAAAAGCACAATAAAAAGCATGAAACTGTTTCCTATATGCTTCTTTGCTTAATTTAATCATTTTCTTTCATTTGTTGTACTTTAAAACTTTTTCAGTCTATTGCTGGATTCACAAACACACTTCACCAGTTCAACTAGTGGTTGTGTGTGAACGATATGCTAAGTAAATTTGTTACATTTTAGCTTAGTTTCCTTTTGGCTGCCAATAAACATATTTTTTGTCAAAAAAGGGCATTGGGAAGCTTATAGAGTGCTCCAGTTTCAAGCCATGAAGGGCTGACAGGTGAGAAACAACACCTTGGAGGACACCTGAAAACATTCTGCCAACATGCCCTTACCTCTAGTACTTTTAGTTCTATGAATGTAATCCAGCTGTGTCCTGTGGAATTCACATTTAGACAATTTGATGTATAAATTTGCATCGAGCAGTTTTTTAAACACTTGACGTACAAGAGTTACAGGTTCCTCCATGGTCTTGGCATACATAAGGATATCGTCTAAATAGACAAGTACCCCTTTAAATTGATGTTCATGCAGCACTTTCTTAATTAGCTGCATGAACACCACTATCTATCACGTTCCAGCATTCACGTTGAATGCAAACAGAGGGTCAGTTTGTTTGGTGAAAAACTTTATCTCTATCTAATATTACGTGATAACCAGCACTAAATGACAATGATACAAAGGTAAGCAAATCCAAGTCAGTTCTAACCAAGTTAACACCATCACTCATATATATATATACAGGTCACCATGACCCACACCCTCAGCCACACTCCCACTCAGTGTCATCATAGCCTCCTTCCTGGTTAGCCGCATCCAAGCAGAAGAGTTACGTCAGAGTAGGCAGTTGCACCCGAGAAGAAGAATTACTTCTGAGGAGGCAGTTGCATTGGACTCACTTGGACTGGCTTAGGCCGTGTGGCTGGGGTCATCATGTTTCAGTCTGCTGCTCTGTGCCTGGGTTTTCCACACTGGAAACATATAATGGGAAGTTTGTTTTTTATTCTCTTTTCTGTTGACCTTGCTGCCGACGTCAAGAATCCTGGAGGATGGCTCGCGGTACGGTCGGAAAATGGCGTTGCCAAGCATTTCCCTCATCTCTGGGTTTAAGGTCCCTCAACTCCACTTCTAGCTCCGTAGCGGCTTGATACCATGATCACAGGCGGGGTTGTAGGGCTTGATATACAGATGCCTGCCGGATTGATCTATTTAAGTTGGTCTTAAACTGATATACTAACAGTCTCTCTGGCCAGTCTCTTAGTTTTCCCGACAACCGCTGGAAATTCCATATATAACCAGCAACCAGCTGGCCTTTCTGATGTAATGCCATCAACTCCCCTTCAACCCTTTGTACCCAGATTGGATCCTCAAACTGTTCTCGGGCATCCAAAAAGAGACCACAATGCCGCAACTCTGGACTGTGTTCACTGTAGAGGTCTGCGGCCCAATCTGTGGCCTCTCCCTCCAACACCCCCACAATGGCCATCACTATGGCCCATTGTGAAGTGTACAAATGGCCAAATTGGTCCATATGCTCTATTCCGTGACCCAAGAAAATGGCTACTTTGTCTGGGTTACTGTCGAAAGAGACCTTCAAGGAGGGGGGCTCCCAAGGACCACCCATTGTAGCCTGGCCTTGTCCACTTCCAGCTGGCCAAGTATAGATTGGATGGGCACTAGATACCACCTGTGGCAGCCAACATTGACTTCTGCCGCCACTTAGCGGATCCCTTTGCTGTTGGGCTGGAAGCCTCGAAGGCAACTGTGGGTCCAGCTCCTCGTCACTGGCCTGTGTATGTTTCTGGGATGCACCCAACATCAACTTTGGACTGGCTAGATGGAAGCAAGGGATAGGCTGGGAAGGGGGCCATGATGTATTCCTGCTACCTGACTGGCTATCTCCTCTGTTCTCTTGATAACAAGACCCACTGTCATGGAAGCTGGCCTCCCCAAACTACTCCCTCAGACAATTCATAGTGTGGCTACCCAAGGTAGTGGAGTAGCTCCAATCCTCCTCTTCATCTTCAGTCACCCTCCTTTCTCTCCACTGAGTGAGGTGACCCCCCCTTGGGAGAAGGCACAGGTAGTTTTGAGCTGGTTATTAACCCTGCACACTTCCACCATTAGCACCGGTCACTGGTAAAATTAAATATGTATTCATTTTATTATACTTTTCTGGTAGAATACCCAACAAAAAAATTTCTGGTTTAAGATTTATGTGTTGTGCCACTAGTTTTTCCAACCATGTATGTATTTTTCTCCACTATTTTTTCCCTTTGGGCATGTCCACCACATGTGATAGTATGAACCTGGTATCTGATTATACGTAATAATTAGCAGACATATGCTTAAACACCTTTGTAAAGTCCCTCCAGTGTTAATTATCATCTATGCCTCAAATTTATTCATTCTTCCACACATGTAAGTACCTCAGCCTGATAATGCAACTCAACGTCTTTTAATGATCTGTGTAATTAGCACTGGCATATTGTAATTAGCACTGGCATATTGTCAACAAGAGATTACCACATTCTTTCTCATACTTCCGACCATGTGCTCCTTAAGTAGCAGAGGAAGTCATTTTTTAAAAAAATTCAAGGACATGGTGGGGTGGGAGCAAAATCAGATTCTTATCCTTGAGGCATGGGCCTGGCACCCAATTACCATAAAGGAAGTCCTGTGAAGGGGTAATTGTGGAATGGCCCTGGTAACCCAGTGAAACTTGAGTCATTCTTAGAGTTCTGCTGTAGAACCAAGGGAAAAAAAAAAGAAAAGATCTGGAGGCCAGGAACAGCAGAGGTGAGCTTAAAAAAGTCTTTCAAAGATGCAGCTTTCAGGCTATGCTCAGAAGGAAACACAGCAAGGCAACAAGTAGTTTGGTGATAAGGAATAAAAGAATAATAGAACTATTGGGCCATAAGGCAAAACACAGTATCAACAAAGGGTGGTTAGGTGCTACTCAAGCCCCCTGATCTTATTGGGTTTCATGATGTTTCAGAGTTGGGCTATTAAGGTAAAAGTAAAGCTTTACCATGGGTCATTTTCAGATTTGATGGGTTAATCAGTTGGATTGTTGACATCATTTTTAAATAGGTTTTTCTAAACACACACAGCTCTCTACCTATAATTAACTGCTTGGATTTAGGTCATCATTAAAAGCTGCTGCAGAATCTATTACAACAAGTCTCCTTATTAGCATTAAGATTATACTTATTTTAGTTGTAAAAGGCTGCACAGCACCAGAGACATACTCACCAGTATGACGCCTTCATGAAGACGTTCCCATATTTGTAAGCGAAGTTGAGTGAGGTTCTTCATGCCAAAGTCCCGATGCTGGGCTTCCAAGGCTAAGTATGACACATAATCTTGGACGAGATAATATCTCTGTGACCCAACAAGATTCTTCTGTATATTAGGTTAGATTTCATGGACATATGGGACACCATGATTTTCATCATGATTTCATCA